ACACATGAATATAAAAAATGGTTTTCCTTTTATTACACCGGGTCGTGTATTCACAGCAAATTCATTATAGTTACATTAAATTTGAAACTAACTCGTATATTCGAAGTATACAACAAAAATATTCCGTCGAACGAATACAACGTAACTACATAGATTTTTCAATGCTTATTCATTTTAAAGAACTGCCAACATATTTCTTTACATTTACATACAAAAATTAAAATAAAAAATTCAAATAAAGAATCGCCTTACATTTCAGTTAATTTTCCGAATGTTATAAACATAATGTAAAGAATACTGCAAATGATACGGTCGAGAACGAACAGTAAATATTATATGAAATTGAATTAAATGCTACATGTTGCACGAACACATTTTATGGAAGAGAACATCATATTTGTTTGAATACATAATAATAAGCGAGATACATGATCAAAAAGCATGAATTAAAGATCAACGTTTCTATTTACAATTATAAAAATTCCAATGCGTTTTAAATTAAAACTGCATAGGAGGTAATGTATAATAAATTTACGCGTCAATAGAGTACTGATATAACGTATCGTTAATGAGACATACAAATAAAGATAAATGTGATTCCATTCATTCCTTAAATTCAGTCAAAACGCTCAATATAGTGCCGTCACATAAAAATGTTTTTTACAATAACTTGTAGAGTTTGGGTTAATCGATTACATATAGATCAACTGGGAAAATATTAAAGAACATTCGCAACACGGAAGTTTATTTAAACGATACTGAGCACTACTGGATTCGAATCAAAGTTAACAAAAAAAAGTTAACAAAAAACAACTTTGTAACTCCGTTACGTTCTTTTAAAAATATTTTTTTCGGTACAAACACAGGGACAGAGACGTACCTATAACTCCTCGTACGAATTATTTTCACAAAATATAATTTTAATACGTGAAACTTAAGATAATTTGGTGTAACTAGGAGGTGAAAATTTTTTTCTTAAGAATTTCAAAATGTACAGTGGCATGCATGAAATTAAAGTTATCAACAATACTTTCCATAAGAAGTCTGTCGTCTTTATGAACTCGGCATCTGTGTCAACATAAAAACAAACGATCAAATATATTTTTGCAGATATATATATATATATATATATATATATAGATTAACAATGAATGTTGAAATGTAAACAAGACATACCAAAGTAGTCCTTTAAAACGACCAGAGATAACAAATAAAGTGCCAAGGAGAAAATCTCTGCAAGTATCATAATATAATGCCACGTTCTGATAGTCAAAGCTACCATAATTAATTCCGTTAACACGAGAGCTGTGAAACTAATAGCCACTATATGAATAAATTCATCTTTAAACATTATAAGTGCGCCGTACATTATGACTCCACCTGTAATTCACTTGTCAATTAGTCATTGCACTTTTAAGATAAAAACAAAAACAATAATGTTCGCCAATGGAAATCTTTAATATAATCACCTTGATATATGCTTATTAAAATCCACATGAAAAACGTCTTATAGGACAATGATCGTCCTTTACTCAATTCTTTATATAATTCTGGATAAGTGAGTGCAATTCTTCCAGACACATCTTTGTCCAGTACCAAAGAAAATACTGGAAACATTGTATATATTGTTCCATAACTGCAAAACAGTATAACAGTATAAGTAACAAGATCGTGCAAAGGTGTTGTTGTTAAGTATTCATAGTGTGAAAGTAAGGAACGCTAATCTCTTACCCCACCATTAAAAATCCCTGATACAAGGATACCGACGATAAATAAAAGACCGCAGAAAATACAGCTTGCATAGTAGAAATAATTAAGCCTCGATGAATAACAAATTGACTTAAAGCAGCGGAACGTTTGTAACTTCTTCGGCCGTGAACCAATAGAAGATTGGCCAAATGACTAAACTGAGAAATGGAGAAGTCTGCGGCCAAAGAGGCCTGTCTTCCCTCGAGACCTTCGAGACCTATACCTGCGAATGAATATTCGTCAAATATTAATAGACGCATCGATACAACCGGATTTCACCTAATACTACGGGCAAGACTCGGGCTATTCAAAAGTCATTTACCAGCGTCCGCTGCTTGGATCATAGACACATCATTTCCACCGTCTCCGACAGCTGCGGTTCTTTTCCCCGTGTGCCTTTGGATAAGACTGACTACGTCAGCCTTTTGTGTAGGCGAACATCGGCAGCAGACGACAGCCGGTGAACCACAGGCTAATTCCAAAAATTCCTGTTCGTAATATTGCAAACATACTTCCAGAGAATCTCCGCTGATCACTAAGGCACAATCTTGCTTTTTGCGAAATGTGTTCAACTCCAAGTGCGCATCGGTCCGAGTTACTACTGATTTAAAAACGTGAAGACCCTGCGTTCGTGAAACTAAACACGAAGATTTCGCTATACAAGTTGCCGTTTCCAATTTATCGCCTGTCAGCATCCAAATCTTCAGGGTGCGATCAAAAGTTGGGAACGATCATTAGTCGAAGGAGACACGAATTTAACGTTTCAAAATGTATTTACTCACTTTAATTCCAGCATTTCTTAAAAATTCTAACGTTGGTCTTACTCTATCCTGCAATCTATCTTCGACTCCAGTCACGCATAATAATTCCATTTCCCTTTCCAAACTTTCGATAACAGCGGTAACCCGGGAAACTCGATCACTGACGCTCATTCTCGCTGCATTATATCTAGACAAAGCGTTCGATATTTCACATATTATTATTTCTATTTACAAAATGCGAATGGAAATACGTACCTTGCTTCAAAATCGAGGTATTGTTCTTCTGTTAAATTTTTCTTCGCGACAACGAGCGTTCTCAAACCTTCTCGAGCCATGTTACCACATTCTTCTTCCAACCAATCGTTATATTGCACTATTCCGGACATCACTACGTCTGCACCTTTCAGATAAAATATTATTTCAGAATTAGACTCCTCTTTTACTATTATGCCCATTCGTTTAGTTTCCGATGTGAATGGAAATATTTGTAAAATCGTGTAGTTTAAAATTTTGCCATTTGGAGCTTTCAATTGCATAAAATTTAGGTCTCGTTTAATCAAGGCTAATCCCATTTCTTCCGTCCACTTGACTAATGCTACTTCGTCCGGGCTCGAAGCTTGATAGTTTCGTTTTTGTTCCGGTAAATAGTAATGTTGATCCGCCTCTGTTTGACTAAAATCAGTACAAAAACACAAGTACAAGTGTTACACAATTTAAAAAGAAAGATAGCATATATATGGTTCCTTCGTTTGATATTACCTTTGAATCGATCCGGAATCTTCCGTCTCCCCTGTTTGTACACTGACCGTGTCCAAATTTGCTGGCTTTGTTACCTCGTCGTAAACCGGAGTAACGTTATGACATAACGCTAAAGCATGCACTGCATCGTATATCCTGGTACTCTCGGATCTCCTTACTTTTCCGCTATGCATAGTCGCCGATGGTTTCATAGGAGAGGTTTCGGAATTGGAAGAATAGCATGTATTCAGCACAGACGTAATTTCGTCAAACGTTTCTTGACCATAAGACATCATGCCTAAATGTAATTTTTTAAAAACCATTTTGTTTTGCGTTAACGTGCCGGTTTTGTCACTTAATAGGTATGATATGCGACCAAGCTCTTCCGGTATGGTAGTTGTTCTCACAACCGTTCCACTAATTTCTTTGTCCCTTTGTATGCACCATGCATAAAAGGCTTTCCCCATGTCTAAATTTACTCTTAAGCTGATCGGTATTATGTAAGAAAATAATAAAACGAAACGAAACATGTAACGGTACCATGGCCCGTTAAATCCCTTTAAAGACATCATTACTAACGCGAGTCCGATAACAGCGCAGAATAACACCTAAAAAAGTTATCATTTCATAGTGTGATACAATGCAACGAACAGGTAAAGATCGTCACGGTTCAGGCCAAATGTTTTACAGGACTTTATTAGATACCTTTGTCAATTGATTTATTTCTTGATCTAACAAGCCAACTTTCGACCGTGGCGCCGAATGATTCATGAGAGATCTCGTTTCCTGCCCTGTGTAAACGACAACACCAAGAGCCGAACCCGATGCGATAGCCGTGTTTGCCCACAACGTGTTGTCAACGCCTAAACTTTCTTCGCTACTGTACCCGTCGTACTGTAATAAAACATTTCAATAAAGTACTCAAGAGTAAACGGAACATGCAACGAGAATATTATATTCCAAAGCAACGAATCATTTAGAACTCACCCTTGTGAATGTTCCTATGAAGCTGTGAATATCCTTTTGCGGTTTCTCAACGTATATACTCGCTTTTATGTCGAACAGCTGGGAGTTACTTTCTAATTTTTGAGTTGCTGGTACAGCCAATCGTAGCTTCCAATCTGTTTCTCCATCCAACTGATCCGTTCGTACGAAACATGCTCCTGCTTTTTCAGTTGTACGTAATAACACCAAATCTGCTGGGACTCTCTGACCCTTTTCAACAATTACCTAGTAACAGACATAAAAAACATGCGTTAGATCCACTATGTTTGTTCGATACACATTTCTTTCACCCCAAACCGGACTCCTTACCAGATCACCGACTCTCAGCTTGGAACTGGGTACCAATTCTGGCATCTCGAACCCTTTAACGAGTCTATAATATTTCTGTGCATTGACCTCTTTGTCTCTCTTGTAGCGTCTGAAGTCATCGATCGCTTCTCGACAAATAGTAACGGTCAATACGAAGCATAACGGCCCCCAGTATGTGTACAGGTATCCTATTCGGATATCTGGTATAAACTGAGATATTGCCATAAGCAAAAAATACAAATTCAAGAAAAATTTGAACTGTTGGAAAAGAACCTAAGGTATGGAAAAACAAAGTTTACATTCTCTGTTCCTCGAGACACGGGGAATCTAGTTCGATCGAAGAGCCTTACCAAAGGTAGAAACGTAACCACATTGTACTTCTGATTTCTTATGACGTTAGTGGGAAATTTTTCGTGCATCGGTTGACCTATATGAATAACTCTTGCTCTTAATTCGCGTACTCTGCAGCATCTCCTCCACATCCAGGTACAACATCTGTATTAAGAGGAAAATAGGGAATAAGAAAAAGTGTAATTATCGCAACGATTTCCAAGACGATTCAGAGAAATCGAAATTTGATAGGCGTACGCGTTTAACATGGAACAAATTTATAAACAGTCCTGAGGATCCGTCGATAGCGTTGCGAAAGATACGAGGAGTGTGCTTAAACTCGAATGAAACACAATAAGAAACAATCGGGAACGCTCAAAGGGATAAAAGTTTTTTTTAGTTAAAACAAGATGTACGTCACCTTGTCCAGGAATTGTCATTTCGCGGTTTCGATATCAACGGGATATCTTCTTTCGACAGCCTTACAACATTGCTTTGGGTCTCCATTTAGATACTCGTTCGTTCTAAGCCGTATAAGAAGATTTTCTTATTCGTTCTCACCCCGAGAAATATTAACTTGAAAATACGTATCAACGACAATCACGACTCTGTTGTGACATCATAACATCATCCACGAAGCACGCGCTTACAAGAGGAATTCGCTCTCTCGCTGCGATAAATCGAATTACTCACTCCGTTGCGTTTCTCCAGATTTTTCGCAGAAATCTGTTCATGAACTGGTAAGCGCGGACGTTGGGAAGAACGTTTAAAAAGAAACAATCCATACTCGGTAATTGCGCAATTAGGTATAAGTTTGGGAAAAATCGAACGATTGGACCGTTTCGCCGAAGACGCGGAGATTAAATCTCGAACGAACCAGACGCGGAATAGCACGATGCGACCGATGTATACCAAAGATTTACAAGTTTCTCGAACATGCAGTTGTTTATTTATCCGTCTATTTATTTACAATGGAACACCACGCGATACGCGAACAGGTTTCGCGGATTTACGTTTTCTCCGGTATAATCGAGATCGGGTTTTATCATTTGTCATGTTGGCCACCATTCGAATAAACAGTTGGTTGTAAGTAAGCAAAGAAGCAAGCAAGTAAGTGGGTACCTACTATACGTGTATGTACCGATGTACATCGCGTCGATAGAATAACCGTTCTCCCTTGGATCAGCGTTTTCGGTGGTAACCGCAGACTTACCCGCAAACGAAATTCTTGAAAAATAGGGAACAATCGTTGATTCGTCGTCTCCTCGAAGTTAGAAGTCGTATACTGTCCTCGGAGGGCTGTAGAAGATAATCGGTCTCCTCGTCCATTTCAAAATCCCGCTCGTCCGAGCTTAAACGCAATGGCATCTCCTCTAATCGCATATTCTTGTCGAGTCACACGAGAAATTCCCTTTAATCTTTTACCACGGAAATAGACGGTGCCGATAGGCGATATATGTATGTTTACAGGTTACTAAAGAATCGCGGAATACGTACGTACATATCGTTCAACGATAGAAGTTGCAATTGCCATAGATGCTTGTTGGGTTCCTCATTACAGCGATATTATACGCGTCACGTGATGTCGAAGCGTTATACCTTATACCGTACAGTCTTAAATGTATTGCACGCGTGTAGGTACTAACAACAAGTATTTAGAGACGAGCCTTCCCCTTTGTATACATGGGTGCCACCTTATCGAATTGTTTTCGATCGGATAATTTCACGACTCGTTAGAACGTGACGGTATATATTTAGCGCGTCTACCGTCTGCCGAATCGTCGCGATTAGAATTTCGAGGGGCACGATATAAATCGACATTCTACGGAACGTTCGAACGATTATTCTGTTTGTTTACCAAATGCGTACACATGCTGTATACATGTATATACGCGCGTACGCACACACATGCAAACTTTGCTTTTTCGCGTATTACGTGTTCATTTTCGTCTAGCGATCGGAAGAGGATTCGTTGTTGCGTCTTCCATGGTTTTTCACATTTTCCAAGGAGAAAAGTGAATTCCGGTATCCGGAAGCAAGACCAGTTTTCGTACGAGACATTAATTGGCTACGATCACGGTACCGTTGCGACTGGAATGACGGCAATGTTACACGGCCATATTGAATAACGCGAGATCACGTGGTTCCCCGAGAGTCTCCCGACGATACGCATGCTCGCGTTCTTTGAAAACGGTTCACGCGTTCGAACCAGAGACTTTGCGACGTGCATTTTCCTTAACGCGTTCTTGGGTAAGCCGATCGGAAATTTTCCACGTCGCTTTCGAGACGTCTCGTTTCTTGTCTCCTAATTGTTCGTTCGAATCCTAATCCCAATTTCCGACTGTCATTCTAATTCGGCGTGACTTTGTAGGCTGACTTCAACGATTCGATCGCGTGTTCGAGATGTCGGTTTCCATGTTTCGCAGAGTCGATCAAACGGCGAAATAATTGGTTGCACGCCGTTCTTTCCTTTTCACCCATAAAGCTAACGGTTAGTCCGAATCGATTGCATTTCCGGAGGACGCTTAGGATCTGGACGACGGTTTCGACGGTCCCGCTCGTGGCCGCAACGGTTTCGGAGCACACCTCTATCAACTCTGCGAACAACGCCGGAGGAATCTCGGTAGGAAAAATCTTGGTTTCCAACGCGTCCCTGGAAGACAACGTTTCGACGAGCGAACATATCGCGTTTCCCCTTCTGTTCTACTTATTATTGATATTCTCGTACTTGAAGCTTTCCAGATAACGAAACTTTGCCTGGCGGTCTTCGATCGTTCTCCAAGCCCGGGTAAATTGGTCGCACGCGAGAGCCGAGTTATCGGCGATGAGATCATCGGGTTTTCTCGTCTCGGTTCGCTCCTGCCGAAACTCGACGTAGTCCGTCTCCGGTTCCGACTCGTGACCGGCTGCGATAGGATTCCAATATCCCTTCGCTCGAAGCGAAAGTTGATCGCGTCGCAACGGTCTGAGATGCGCGGCGTTTACCTGCCGATCGATATTATTCGTACGTTCGCCTTACCATTGTTATTTAGGGGTATTTACCATTTGCCTAAAGTCGTCGTACGTCGGCACATTCTGTTCGACCGCTCTAAGTTTCGCGTCGTTTCGCAACCTATAGAATCGGTCCGCCGTAAGCGCCTGCTCGAGTTCCGCCTTCAAGCTGGCGTAATCGATCGCACCGTTCAATTTGCTCCTTCGAAATCCTCTCGATCCGGCTTCGTTCATTTCTCCGGCTTAACTCGGTTGGTTCGACTCGCGACTGAGCACGCGTCGCCGCGTCGCTGTAAACAGTTTTTCAGCGATCCGTCGCCGTGGCTACGCGAGTGCCGCGCGCCGCTTCGAGCAAAGGGACTCGTTTCGTCGGAGGAAAAGAATTACGGAGATAAACCAGTAGAGACGATTTATTCATTAGATCCAACGAGATCGATCGTTTATATCGCAGCGTTCCCTTCGGGTTGCACCGAAGTCTTCTTCTTTGCCATCTTATCCTGCATTTTCTTGTACAGTCGGTCGTGAGTCCTCTTCATTTCCAAGATTTCTTTCATCTCTTCCTTATCCTCTTCCTAAAAGAGAAGTTCGTTCGTTGGATCGCTCGAGATCGTTCGTTCGCAACGTTACCGATTGATTCAGACGAAGGACCAGCGCTTTGCGACCATCCGACATTGGCTGGGAATAATCCATTAACTTTTTCAGCCTTTCCTCCGGACTCACACCTCGCTCGACCACCAGAACTATACGCGCCCACTGAAACGATCGAGAGAAGAGCGTAGGAAAGAAGAAAGAAAAGAGAAGCGGCGGAGAGAGGGAGGTAGGACGATACTTGTCTTTGCCATTCGTTCCTAGTTTCCGCGATTTTTTGGTACGTGTTTCCCATCATAGCGATCAACATGTTTACGAGTAGAATTGCCACGATCGCCATGTAAAGGACAAACAGAAACTGCAACAAAGTTTCGTTCGCTTTTAGACGGCCACTTGGAATTCGGCGCAAAACCGAACACCGTACCTTGGCTTCCATCTCGTGTTGCGTTCTCTCGAATGCGCTGTAGTAATCTCCAAAGTTGGTCAAGCTCATCAGAAACATCGCCATTATGCTCTCCATCGGGGACGGCATGGGATTGTTTATCGAATCGTCTACGCCTTCCGGCGTATTTGGATTGTCGAAAGACAGAAATATGATGTAGTACGCTGCAATGGAAGAATATACGAGAATATTCGCAGGGAGAGAAAAGAAAATGGACACGGAAAAGGAATCGACACGAAAATATCGAAGATGTCGAAACATCGAACCGGGAAACCGACCTCCGATCTCACGTGAAATTACAGAGTAATGGGACGTGTTTGATCGGCACGGTAGAACGTGCGTTGGCTCTGTGCCACGGCCTCTAACAAACTGTTTCGTTTCACGGTGAAACAACTTCCAGCGAAACACTTTGTGTGTCAATGCCGTTGGTTCGCCAAGTCGCGTAACGGGCGATTAGGTCATAAGACGATCTTGTGTCATCCTCGATGCTCTCCGCTGACTAATTTCGTGAGCGGTTATCGGGGAGAAGTCTCTGTCCGTCTATCTGTATCGTTTCGACCAACTAAAAACCGTTACTCCGGTAGCTCTGGTTACCTTGGGAAAATCCCATCACGAAAACCAAATAAATGGAAACGAAACGTAGCAGGTCGCCCATGATCATTCTGTAGATCATCACGACGAAAGGGCCGACTGTCTTGAACCCTCTGCAGAAGAACAAAAAGTACGGTGCAGTGGTCAGCATGACGACAACCGCTAGCATATCCTCGACCCGATCGGCGCAGTTCAGTCTCAGCAATGGAAAGGTTAACAATATGCAACAGGAGAAGAGGAACATTACTCGCGACGGTGCAGTCATCTAAAAACAATTCGTTTCGTCGACACGAAAGCGTCGAAAGATCGAGATGACGCACCGTCTACGATAATAATCAGAGGTTTACCAGATTTTCGACAAACATGCCGAGTCCTAGGAATCTGGCTTCCCTCAGCGCGGCGAGAATGTAAAGAGTAGCCGCGATTTCCATCAGCAGCTCAGCGATTATTCGTATCTTTCCCGATAAGCTCGTCAGTTCCATCAGTCTGCACTCTTGATTCACGTTGCTCCACCTAATTATTTCGGGGGAACGCTAAATCGCGAAACGTGTTCGAAGTACATCTACGGAACCCGATGCAACGTACCAATTGTCATCGCTGTCGCTGTCGCTGTCGCTGTCGTTGCCAGCGCCGAGCAACGGAACGATATTAGGCAGCGATGTTGTCCTCTCGAAGGAGCTTTCGTCGGTCGTGCTTCTAACGAATTCCGTCGTTCCGTTCTTTCGATGGACGCTTTCGATCGTTCCAAGAGTCGCGGACTCGAGAACGCGGTCGTCTCCGTTTCGATCCGCGGATAAAACGCTTTTCAACGCGGATCTTACTTCGGAGATTACGTCGAATTTCAGTTTATCGAGTAAGGACTGCGTCGCGTTCGGAGAGGATTCACGAGTCGCGTTCAAGCTCGTGGCTACAAGTTTCTCGAGGATCTCGGAAAGATCCGCTTCGAAGGTTCGATGGTTCGCCGAGGTTTCAGCCGCGGGGCTCGCGAACCGGGTAGAAACGGGCGACGTCGTTGTCGCGGCGAGTCCGACCGACCCGTACGAATCGGTGGTTTCACCGACAGCCGTCACCCCGTCGGACGAGCTCGTCGAAGGTCCTGGCCGGAGGGTGAAACTAATCAACGATAGCACGAAGTAGAAACAAAAGAGAAAAAACTGACGGTAAAATCGGGATTTAACAAAGGTATTCCATTTTGCGTTTAACAGATCGATCAAAATGCCATCCATCAGTTCCAAATGTTCGTCCTTTTCCTAAAACAGAGGCAAACGAAGGGTGGCGAAGCGGAAGTAAACTCGCGGCAAAGACCTAGGCGAGAGTGAACGAGAGCAACGAGGAGAGAAAGGAACAGAAAACTTACGCCAAAGACGACGAGATTCAGGGCAGAGTTATGACTGATGGTGCCCGTGGTAACATCGATGGTGTCCACTTGCGAGAGAGGATACGCCGCGCAGGTAATGCTTCCTATTTGCCAATAGATTTCTCTTTCGATGTTCAGAATGTGGAAGAACATTTCGATCCTGGCCAATTTCGCCGACAGTGTCAACGGCGTTAGATGTTGGGCGTTTTTGATCGACAGTGACGCTCCCATTTCGTAGGCCATATCGAACGTGCCCTTTAACAGATATTTTCTTCGATCGATGATCGATCCTTGATTTATTTCGGTTATCGGTGATCGATTATCGGCTATCGGCTATCGTTTATCGGAGCTTACCAGCTTTTCGTAGATAACCAACATGTGTAGCACCGTGTTACCGTTAGTGTCTTGTTTGTCCGGGTTTGCGCCTCTCGCCAGAACCAATCTGTAACATTCCTCCTGACCCAAACACGCGGCGAAACTCAAAGGATACTCGCCCCAGTAGACGTACCTATGCGATTAGAAAATCGATTCGCGCGTCTGCTTTCCAAAGGTGCATCGATAGGTGGAGATTTCTCTGTTTATTCGTCGAGACGTTACCCGCTGTAATTGGTCTCCGGCGTGACGCACACCCATTCGTGCTCCAAACTGTCGGATCGCGAGGTTTTCTGATCTTCCGGGGACATGAAATTCCCGAAACATCTTTCGTGCACGTCCGCCCCGCTATCGAGGAGCAATTTCACCAAAGCCGGATCTTCGTTGACTATCGCGATGTGCAGCGCGCTTTCGCCTACCGAATCATAGGAAACCGGCGGTGGTGTAACATTCGCGTCTACAGCTAAATACTTGGACCTCCCACTAACCGTAATACTCGTCGCTCATGTAGACATCGTTGATAAGCTTCGGATAAAAGCGTAGCAAGCGTTTCGCCAAGTCGATGTGAATAGCAGTCGCGTGTAACATGCACAAGTGTAAAATCGTTTCTCCGACCGCGCCTCTTTGACTCAAACTCCAACAGACCATTCTGTACTTTTCTTTGTCTGCGAGGTGGAACGATGCGAAAGAAGAAGGAAAATTTCAAGTGAATTTTCAACTAAACCATCAACGGGAAAGTCTCTCTACCTATCTTCGCCTCGTCGACGTCCTCCGTGCCAGCCATGTCCTTGTCTATGTCGTAATCGCCCGGATTCTCCATGGCCCTCAAGGGCGGAAGCTGCAGAGTTGCTCGCGGTCAGAAACCGGACGCCGAATCGAGCAACTACCTCCGCTTTCTTACCATTTTATGCTTCGGACGATCTTTGTTCCGCAGCAGAACCAACTTTTCGATCGGAATCCATTTCCCTTTGCCTTTGTTGTACAAATACGGCTCCACCTTGGTGCGCAGCGCGTGATCCAGCTCGGCGTATTGTTTCGTTTGCGTTGCCCGTTTCATCATGTCCACGAGTAAGCCACCTCCTGTTCAAACAAAAACCGCCAGCTAACCCTCCGTACCAAAGACAGAGTAGAATCCGCGATTCGAGTACCTTTCAAGTCGACCAGCTTGTACAGCACGATAGACGAAGCATCCGTCTGCTTTTTTACTCCACTGACCACGTTACTCTCCGTATTTCCCATATCGGACCTGATCTGATATCTCAATAAAGGAACTAGCCTAACTCGCCGCGACCACTATACGTTTCAGCTGCACCAACATTTTCGGTATATCGCCGCCGTTACCATAGAGCAACGCTTCTATATCGATCACGCTAATAACTTGACCTTTCGCGGATCTCGCAAAAAGGAAACGATCCTTGCTCCGTTCCGATCCGATCCGATCCGATTAGTATCTCCTTCCCTTTCTCTTCGTTCGTGCAAATTCAAAGTATTCCAAGATAAACGGAAAAAGAGTAAAAGAGAAAAGGAAAGGCGCCGGAGGGATTCGAACCCTCGATCTCCTGTTTACTAGACAGGCGCTTTAACCAACTAAGCCACGGTGCCTGGACGGCCGGATTTTTCAAATCAGCGTACACTTGTGTGTTGCTGTTAAATATTTCAATATTCCATGTAATTTATCGATCAACTCCTCTGCTTACGCGACAATGAGACCCTTCGGGAATTCGCTCTCGCCATGTTCCGTTGATATTATTAGATCTGCATCTTTCGCTCGATCTGCGGTTTCGCTCGAAAAGCATTACGTGTCTCGGGACAGGTGCGAAAGCTATCGAGGTGCTGAACATCGTCGAATTTACCTGTTACAAATAGGATGGCCCGTGGTACGGTGATGGTTTGAAAATTAGAAAGTCCAAGTGTGCGAGGCTCGTTGGTCTAGGGGTATGATTCTCGCTTAGGGTGCGAGAGGTCCCGGGTTCAAATCCCGGACGAGCCCGTTTTTTTTTCTCTTCCCGATTTTAACGATAGCTCGTACTACCCGATGCGAGTCGCGACACGACAATTGGACGAGAGGGAAGAAATTGCCGTGCAGATGTCACGACGGCCTGTCGCACTCGTATTTCGAAAGTTGTTTTCTTTCCTCGGGTTATCGTACATGCATACGTAAGTCTCGGATTCTTTATTTCGGTGTTGTTCGACGGAAAGTCAATCGCCTCGTCAGATGGCAGTCGATCGAAATACGATACGCGTTGAGATCTGCTCGTATCGTTTAACGGACGCGCAACGGCCACGATGACATATTCAATTTAATCGGAGACCTTTACATATTAGAGGGATGACGAATACACCGTTCCGAGAGATACGCCGAGGAGATCCGACGGATAGACGAAACGGAACGGAACGGAACGGAACGGAACGGAACGGAACGAAAGGAGTGATTCTTCGTATAACTATATTGCGATACGCGATACGGAACGAAGTGGTGTCGCCGCGTCACACCGCGCCTCGCTGTGCCGCGTTCAAGTTTAAAAGACGCCGAACAGAATCGAATCGAGTTGAGCCGCGAGTAACAGGTGCTTACGCTCGTGCAGTTGCTTTCGGCTTAGTTCGCGTTTACTTTGCGTATTCGCGGATCAGTTAGATTCGCGCTTTCGAGTCGTCGAGGATCGCGTATTTTCTCGGAATTTTTCGCCGATCTCTGACTCGGCGATCGTTCGAGATTTCGTTTGCTCTTGCTTTTCTTCTCTGAGAGATCTCTCGGAAATTCCGCGGCGCTACCTAATTGTCACCTGTGTTTTTCCTTCGTTTGATTTCCGATTTTCCAAGAAGATTCGATCGCGTCGCGATTCGATCCGAACGTTTCATCATTTTCGCGAGCGCGTGTTCGCGAAAGTAAGCGACAGACGTAGAAGCGGTAACGAATATTCGTCGGCGAAGCACGCTCGTTGTTCGGATACCAAGGAGTCCTGATAACAGCTGCGGTCACCGGTAAGTGACGCGTTAATCTTTCCCAGTTATTTATTTCACGTGAAATTTAGAATTCCTTATTCCAACGATGAGTCGCGAAATTACCAACAGCGAAATTACTCGTAGCGAATCAACCGTCTCTATTGTTCGATTATCAATTTTCCCAACGGCCCGTCAACGGTCGCGACTCCTCGATTAAGGTGTGCTCGACGCTTTTCGATACTTTTATATTATCTCTTCGATAATATAACGTAATCGCGCTTTCGAACGAAACCGTGATTAGAAGAAAATATTTATCCTTCAAAGTAACGCGTCGGCCGTTTCGTTTGGCGCCACTATCCGTTGCAGTTTGAAATTTCATACCGTCGATTAATCTCTGCGACGCGATTCGACGTACGCCTATTTACTCGCGTACGCGTACGTGTGCTGTTGCAGGTAGAAATGTATAACAGGTATATCGTAATAATCGAAAAATCAGTTTGACAGAGTTACCGCGGAACCATAAACGACTCGACTCGATTCGGATTCGTAATACGGAGGGTACGATTGGAATTTGGGGCAGCGGACTCGTACGCGTCGATATAACGTTTACGTTATTTTTAGTGCGAACAACATTTGAATGATCGCGCGTCATACATCTGTATAGAAGTAAGTATTTACGTATCTTCGCAGATGATTCGACGTATCGGTCGAAATAGGTCGACAGAGGAAATAGTTTGCGTACTTGGAGGAGGCGGTCGTTCGAACTTGGAGGGTCGCGACGACACCACCAGCCTGAAAAGTTCAATTCGAAAGGTTTCCATCGGTAGACCGCTGGAGAGGGTAACCGGTGTTCAGCGGGGAATCGTTTCGTTGGGAACCAAGATCTCTCGGTTCCGGCGACCCTCGCTTAAAAATATACGATATCGCTAACCTCCTTCTGCAACCTCTTCTCGCCAATTGAGCCATTTTTAAAACAGTTTCGGCTCGCATGCGCATCGCTATAATTGTTGGTATACATATACGTACATGTGTGCGTGTGTATATATCGGTTACAAGCGTAGAGCTACCGTCTAGCAGACTCGTAGGGGTATCTCTAATCGTCCCCTTTACCATGCACAGTCGGATCCTTTACCTTCTATCGCAGTTTCGTCTATCTAATCTATTTAGCACGGCAATTCGAATCTTGACGGTCACGTCTCGAGAAACGGAGCAGCTGTTGTAAACGTTGAGCGAAACTTTTCATATCTCGCGTTATGTCATCGCGTCGCACTGCTCCGCACAGCTTCGCACCGTTCCGAGTCAGATTTATCTACGCGATAAGCGAAACAGATACCTCGCAGAATCTGTTAATAGACCGATTAACAGGTGAACAAACGTTTTCGACGATTCGAAATTCTTTCGTCTCGCGACCATTCATCGTTCCTGTCCCATTCATCGGTATCGATCGAGACATCGGTTTTAACGATGACTCGCCGATGATTTCCTATCGGGATGTATATCGCAATCCCGTGACATCACGTTGCTGCCGAGAACGCGGCAAACCACTTATCGCATTCCATTCCATTCCATTCCACGCTTTTTGCATCCGTAATCTAATACGTTCTATAAAAAAAATTATTCGAATTCTGAGGGATTCGAGCAGGAACGTATGACGAACGATCCAAATATAGATGTTACCGATCCGAACGTTAGAGGGGAAGGGATGCGTATCGGTCTCCCGATCGAATCGAGAAAGCGTTCTGGCCGTATCTTACGCTCGCCTATAGATCGCTAAGAAATTCGAGAAAGAAATTCTTCGAAATCTGTTACTCTTAAAAATTCCCAACCACTGTATCGTTACTCTTAAAAATTCGCCATTGCGGCGAACCGATCGAAAGACATTTCTGAACGATGACGGAGAATCATAGACGCGCGACGTTCCAGTCTGGTAAATTCCATTAATATTATAATGGATTCGAGAATAATCGAGTACATATATAGGGATCTCGATCGCGCATCTAGTCGCTCGTGTTTCCGGAAGCTTCTAGTCGTTGGAAAACAACAACTAGTCGTAACTCCTCTGACGTTATCCTCCGCTCGGTTTAATAGATTCGAGTGTACGCGAGTGCACGCGTATGTATGTACGTTCGCGAAAGAATTACGCAAGGTAGCCGTGTGTCGGCAGCCACGGTCAACGCGGTCTACTTCCTTCACCCTGTTTCAGAAAACAGACCTTTGCAGCCTTGCAAACGAAACGACGCGGCTGACATTTAACTAGAAACCTAGCAACAAGAGAGAGAGAGACGAAATTTGAAGCTGTTCCAAACGAGACGCGAACCTTCGCGCGAACTCGTTGGCACCGCTATCGTACGTCTATTCGAGTAACCGAATCTACCTTGTCCTAAGCGCGTATCGAGCACACCTGGACAAACACCGAATAACGCCGACCAACGAGACGAGTCTCGTCAGGATCCATTTCCCGAGGCGAATCGTTCTGTTTTAGCGGCGAAATCGGCGAACCATGGATTCGTACGAGAGTTTCGTACGAGCGTGTCTGCTGTTCGTCCTGATCCTGTCGAACGCGAGCGGCCTATCGGACTTTTCAGGATTGCCGGCTGGCCCGTATTGCGCCGATAGATACCCTCCGCACGGATGTTGCCTGGGTCGACAGGACGAATGCAGCGCTCCGATCCATACGACGACATGCTACTGCGATGATTTCTGCGATCGGCACGGCGAGGAAGATTGTTGTCCGGATTACTGGAGCCACTGCAAGGGTATCGAGATGGACATCACCACCATTCCGCCAGTGGTAGAGATAAGACGTTCGTAATCCTCTCTCTCTCTCTCTCTCTCTCTCTAATCGATCTAAAAGAAATCTAAAAAACTAGCAAAGCCTATTACGATAGCGTGTAAATCGGGTCGCTTCGACGTTTCAGAATGCTACTTCGAAGGAAAGTATTACAATCATGGGCAAACGTTTAAACGAAACTGCAATCTCTGGTAAATTATCGTTTCTCTCCTCTTGACCTTCCACCCTCTGAAATGAATTTCGAATGAATTTCAAATGAAAGAGGTGGCGCGCGCGCGCTTCTGCGAAAACTATTTCTCGGAACGATTTCAGCAAATGTTCCTCGGTGGACAGACGAGCGGAAGTGCTTTGCGATCAGAATCGATGTTTGCAAGAACGAGAACTGATAGACGAGATCAATCTGGAAAGTCCAGCTCTCGGCTGGAGAGCCAGGAATTATTCCGAGTTTTCGGGTAGAACGCTCAACGAAGGCGTGCTGCTTCGTTTAGGTACTCTGAGTCCGTCGCGATCGGTGAGTAGAAGAATCTTTCGCTCGATTCGGTTCTACTTACTTACCGAGTCTTTTAACCTCCTTTTTCGCCCGACCAAGGTTCAGAAGATGAACTCCGTTCAGCGGGTTTACGAGCCGCAATCGTTGCCACGAGAATTCGATGCCAGATCTCGCTGGCCTCGGGACATATCAGGCGTGGAGGACCAAGGGTGGTGCGGTGCGTCCTGGGCAATATCCAGTGCACGCGTGGCGTCCGATAGGTTCGCCATTATGAGCAAGGGCATCGATCGCGTGGATCTGAGCGCCCAACACTTGCTTTCCTGCAACAACAGAGGTCAGCGAGGCTGCAATGGCGGTTACCTGGACCGTGCTTGGATGTTTATGCGGAAATTTGGGTAATTACTCCGAAATAATTGTTAAATCTAATCTATCTACGAGTACTCGCTCCTCGAGTAGACTCGTTCGTATCGCACGAGTACGCGACGCGCGTTCAGAGCACGTATCTTTCAGTCTGGTCAACGAATCGTGCTACCCGTGGTCGGGATCGAGCGATCAATGTAAACTTCGGAAGAAGATCGACTTGAGGAGCGCGGGTTGTCCTCCGCCTGCGAACCTGTTCCGAACGGAATTGTACAAAGTCGGGCCCGCGTATCGTTTAGGCAACGAGACCGATATCATGCAGGAGATCCTAATGTCTGGTCCCGTACAAGGTAACGGAACGATCGAACGCTATCGACGAGTGCCTATAATTACACGTATATTCACGGTTTTAGCTACTATGAGGGTGTATCAAGATTTCTTCTCTTACGAGTCGGGAGTGTACAAGCACACGGAACTCGCGATGCGTTACGAGTCTGGATATCATTCGGTGAGGATAATAGGCTGGGGAGAAGAACCGTCTCGATACGGTGAGCCGGTGAAATACTGGGTAAGTTGCTCGAGCCGTTTCTTTTCGCTCCCGTGTTCAGTTTTCCGTTCTTTTCATTTTCTTTTCGTTTTAGCTGGCGATGAACTCGTGGGGTCCACACTGGGGCGAGAACGGTCTGTTTCGCATTCAAAGAGGCACGAACGAGTGCGAAATCGAATCTTTCGTCTTGGGAGTATGGGCGAAAACGGTCCCCCCAACGTAACATTCGAAACTCCAGATGTTACAGTTCAGAGTCCTAACACGGGAAACTCTGCAGCAGACGATGCATTTATCGAATCTTCATCGGTCTGTACAAACGATCGAATAGACACACACACGCACACACACACATACTATTGTCGCAATCAACGCAAATCTTCCATTTCTTTGATGAAACGAGGAAGCGTGGAATAAAGTGCTACATCGCACGCGAAAATCTGATCAGCATACGCAACCCACCGAATAACCGACACCGAAGCAACCGTGACGGAGGAAATGAAAACGGGACAAGATTCGCATCGGCGAAGGGAACTCTCCTTAAACGATATCCAAATCTTTATTTTTTATTTGTTGCGTCGACGAACGTACTTATATAGGTGAAGCGACGAACGTCCGAACCGAGGACAACTAGAACAACTAGTCCTTATTCTTCGATGCAGAATCAATTTAGCGTAACAATGGAGCGAATCTGCACAGAGATCAACGTCAGCGACTAAATGGTTTTACGTGTTTATACAGATACCTCTAAAGTATTTAATTGCTACTTTCTCATTCAAACAACGACGCTGCGCCGAGCGCTTTTACAGTGTGGGCTGTACACTTCTAATTTGTCCCTCGGTGTATTCATTGCGGTGTAATCAATCGGGAACGGTACGTTACTGCCCCGGATTATACAGGTGTCCGTCGTGCCGAGAAAGTGTTCTCCTGGACCGAATGGACCCCGGCCGAAAAGAAAATTGGCGAACACGAGTTGATACTGCGGCCAACCTAACGGATAGTCTCCATTCTGAAAGAGCAAACAAACGGAATCTCTCGAGTATTCGACAAAAAGGAAAGAAAAAAACAGCAACGACGATGACAATGATAATAAAACCGTGTTTACCGACGTCATGGAATTATAGGCAATGTCCAACGACTTTGAGATTCTTTTGAAATCGAGGCCAACGACAGACGCATAGAACGAGCCGAGTTCTTTCTTCGAAATGATTCCGTTCGCCGAACTGTTGATCGCGAGAAAGAATATCCTCGGCAGAATCTTCAACCAAAAGGGAATGTCGTTGTAACTCGCGCCGCCGGCTGGAGCAACGATTCGCGCCCACCAACGTAACCAATCGTCCAAACTGATTCTCTTCCCCTCGTCGTCCTCGTACTTTCTTTCTTCGAGTATCAATTCTGCCAAACCTTGCTCGGCTTCCATTAATCGTAAATATTCGGGCCCGTTCCACGACCAATCCGCGAATCTTCTCAGTCGCTTTGCAAAAGAGGAACCCATTAGCGATTCGCCGCTGCTCGTCACCGATCGCCAACTAATTTTTTCTCTTACAATTAGTCGAGCTACTGAATACCTCCGAAAAAGTACGAAAATCTTTTCTGCTAATAAAACCGTCTTTGTCGTGGTCCAACATGTACGTGAAAAAATGAGCGAATTTATCACGTTGAGTTGCTGCTAGATCTTTCAAATTCCCTCCTTTACCGACTCCGGATGCCTCTATAGCTGCGAGATTGTCATCGCTCGGATATCGGCTTACCCAGGTAGCTGTTTCGAGGAAAAACACAAAATTCTATATATATACATATAACCATGTTGTGCTTGCAATGGAAATCCAATAAACGAACAAGCAAACCATACAACTAATCCGTATCGATAAGCGTGCGTGTGTATACGTATTTGATGTGCAATGTTCTCTGGGAAAAGTGTCGGGAGAGCTTACTCCAAACGTGTACGCTCCAACCAGGTTGTTCCAATTTGTTTGGAACGGGCGCACCGACTATCACCTCGTCTACGTTACTCGAGACTGTTCGCCATCTTTTCAAGAGATCCTTGGTCCTGTCGCGAGTACGATCACAAGCCTGTCGCCAGTTGGCGATAAATTTTCGTGGTACTTTTAACGCGTTATTTTCCTCGAGGCCGAGCTCTTGGCTACTCGCGGAGCATCTGCTTCTTTCACTGCCCTCCGGTTCTGTCGTCGACACTCCTGACGCTTCCGTTGATGCAACTTCCTGCATCGAAGGATAATAAATCGGGTCCTTTATACTGTCCGAACGACTCTCCATTGCGGACTACCGACTCGGTCTTGTTGCTAAAAGCATATGCCAACTACCTCTCCTAAAATAATCAATTGCTCGTCGAGAGGTCACCGGGTCGCTCGATAATACCTGTGGAACCTCGCGAGACGATCTCCTCTTTCTCGCTCCCGCTCTCTTTCTCGCTCTTCTTCTCATTATCTACAATCTTCGAAATGTCCAACTTCAAAACCGTTCAACTATCCAAACATCTCGTGTTCGATTCAAGAAAATCGTATTCTTCGTATTACTTCTTCGTATTACTCGTTGCAGTATCACGCATGAATCGTTAAGCATCACCTTTCTTCCTTCCAGAAGAAAAAACGCGTCTTCCGCTTTAAGATAGCATGCTGCTTACTTTCATCCTTTTCTTTAAAACGTTCAATTATTCTTACACGAACGTCTGTCGTTACAGCTCGGTCGATGCTCGTTTTTGCCAGTTTGCATATTTTGATTTTGAACCGATTCGTGCGCCTACATCGATATATTCCATCAATTACCAGGCATCGTGCAGAATAACAAAGAAGGACACTCGACCGTTGATATTTCTTCTTCCGTGTAACTTTATCCGCTAATGAACTTTGAATCGTATATAGGCCTACAGATGTCAGCCCCATCGGCATTTCTAACAATCGAGTTCGCCATCTTGAACGCCATCTTTAATGATCTGATACACGCCGTACGGCGGTGCGAAGCTCTTTCCTGCTGTTCCAATTGTGGAGGGTGAGTGGTTCGTGTTGGAAATCGAAAAATATCCTGTGCATCCGCATCTTTTTCCGAGACCCGTGTTGACAAGATTATTATCCAGCCTCAGCTATACAAAATGTTCATATAATTTTTCAATATTATATCGACGGAAACGTTTCAGTTGTCGCTTCACCGAATTCAACCTGCACACGTATTTCAATCGCTTGCACGCGTTTCGTTTTAACACACGATATTCCGAAATCATTGAATTTCTTTCATTTCATATTTTCTGCTTCCTTTTTTCTTTGTTTAAATTTTCTTTCATCGCATCGTTCTCGTTTCACTTTCTCGTTTGTTTTGTTCAACGGTACAACATATTTGAATAGAATTATAGGTTTTTTCTTCTTCTTTCAGGGATACGCAATGGGTGCATATAAGTATATGCAAGAGCTGTATCGTAAAAAGCAGAGCGACATGCTCCGCTTTTTACTTCGCGTTCGATGCTGGCAGTACCGTCAGTTGACTAAAATGCATCGTGCCCCCAGACCATCCAGACCTGACAAAGCCCGTCGTTTGGGATACAAAGCTAAACAAGGTACGAGAAACATCTCTTCGAAACTTTCCACGAGCGCTTTATCGGTTTAGATTTCGATTTAGTCAATCTATTCTATCAACTACCGATCGTTCGACTTGTTTATTATAAACAACAGTACCTTGTGTAACTTTAAGCAAAATATTATTCTTCGAATAACCACGTGATGATCCGTACCATGCACCACTCTTAACCTTACTATGGTGATATATGTGTACATTCTGATGAGACCCCTTTACACCGGATGTTAAGATTAAGCACTCTGCCAAACACGAAACATTAATTGAAAGTATTACTTTTTTACGCACAGGTTTTGTCATATTTAGAATTCGTGTAAGGAGAGGTGGCCGTAAACGACCTGTCCCCAAGGGTGCAACATATGGCAAGCCCAAAAGTCACGGTGTAAATCAACTGAAACCAACCCGAAAATTACAATCTGTTGCCGAAGTAAGTACACGTTTTATTTTTCGAGAATCGTATCGCGCAAGTATAATAATTTTTATCGATGTTTAAAGGAACGTGTCGGCCGACGTTGCGGTGGTTTACGAGTATTGAATAGTTACTGGGTTGCTCAGGACTCTACGTACATGTACTACGAAGTAATTCTCGTAGATCCTGCACACAAGGTATTCGTTATTATTTACCTGACTTACAATTTAGTCGTGGTTTCATTTATTCTTCGATATATCTGCTTCTATAATGATGACACTGTAATCTATCGTTGAAAATTTGTGATATATCATCTTCCTTGGATGTCTGAATCTTGAAACATGACCAAAGTAGGTACGACATTGTCCGAAGCTGTACCATTCACGTGATTATTTGCGTTTCAGGAAATTCGTAACGATCCAAAGATCAACTGGATATGTAATGCTGTACACAAACACCGCGAACTTCGCGGAAAGACGTCGGCTGGTAGAAGCTCGCGAGGATTAGGAAAGGGACATCGTTATTCACAAACCATCGGTGGTTCGCGTAGTGCGGCGTGGCTGAGACGAAACTCATTGTCGCTTCGCAGAAAGCGATAGGCGATTTTAAATGTTTACACTGTTAAGACCTGTACGAACAAGATACATCATTTTATTGATATAATAACAAATTCTATATCGATATTATGGTATATCCTGTACGAAATAAACATCTCTTCTGTAAGAATCTTTTCTGTACCGCTATATACACACATGCGTATATATACATATATATATATATATTTCTTTTTTTTTTACAAAAATGAACAAGACACAAATATAAAGTGCACAACAAGTGTAATTACTTTTCAGGGTACACGTTTTTGTGGTTCCTCTTTTACATTTAATAAGATGTTGAAACTTATTCTTTTCATATTAAGTTTTGTATTTATACATTGCGTATGTTCTATATTCGCGTTAAAAGACAACGATTTTATTGTCCAGGACCAGACAAAGATTTATCCATGAACTTCTTTTTTGCAAAGCACAACCACCATTTACTAGGTTTTCCATCCTCTCCGTATACTTTTTCTACTAGCCTGACACCTGTTTCTTGTCTTATTTGTTGAAGATACTGTCTCATAGTGTCTGCAACGTATTACAAGTTATAATAATTCTTGTTGGAAAACTTAAAGATAAAATTACCTGCTTCCATGGGATTACTGGGTTTGGCGTAAACAGAGTTCAAAGGAAATCCAGGGTCTCCGGGAATATCAAATTTAGAAATAGCCAGAGAATACATTTCATTTGTTGCTTGAGCTTGAGTAGCACATTTCTGTAGCCTCTTTAAACATTCAGTTATATACAATGTAATATAAATTAAAACTCGATCCGCTTCACTCTGTAAAAGTACAGTATAGTACATATTATTAAAAATATTTAAGAGATATATATCTGCAATAGTTACCTTTATTTCATATATTCTAAAGAATACATTTGCTTTGAAAAAGTATAATGCTTCATCGATTATATCTAAATCCTTACTATTGAACGGAGGTGCGGGACCTCTAAAATGAGTTCGAATTGGCAAGAGCGCCATGTTACCAATGTTTTCATTATTTCCTACGAAACTTGAATGATACGCCTGTAATAAAGTCTTATTAAGAACCTCTATAAAATATATGTTACCGGTCTTTTGTGTAAATAAATGTATAGGTTTGACAGTTCGTTACTTAAACGAGGTTATGGGAACGCCCTATAACACAGGAAGCAAATTTGTTTCTCTACAGATAATAGTTACGCAAGAAAATTAATACTTACAGGCATAGCGATGAACTAGTTTGTAATATTGATAAACAGTATTTCAAATTTCTTCACTTATTTCGGCAAGAACGCGTAATTCGTTGAGTTGAGATGCCTACTTAGAGTATGCATCGATGCGTCAACATTACGACGTTTGTTGAAAACAATGAGCCTGATCAAAAGTGCATCTAAGAGTATAGAAAATTAAAGTAATCGAAGAAACGTTAAAGTGTTGCATTTAGATCTTAAAATCTTCAAAAATTGAAATCTGAGCAATTTCAGTATAACAATGTGTGCATCGTAATTGTATAATCTATATGTGTCATTATATATATATATATAATATATATATAATATATATATATAATATATATATAATATGGGTACATAGATATTTTATATATGTATGTATATAGATAGATATGTACATATATATATATATAAATTATATAAATTTTTTATTTGATCAGAAATCAATTTTTCATAATCTTGAAATGTAAAACCTTATTTGCATGTATAAATAAATGTTATATGCAGCGCAACGGAAGTGATGCTAGGAATTTTTTAATATACCATTTTCTGGATTTCTTAGATTGGCGATGCTGTTAATTTGGTGCGGAAATTACTTCCGGTCATTTCCGTTGAATGGCGACGGCGATGGATAGTTTGTTTCGAAGCGTATTGGCAGTGCCTTGGCTTTCGAGATTTTAGAAAGTTTTTCAATTTTTCTTTTTCCGTATCGTGATTCCGTAATATCATTGTGTCTGTGAACTAGAATTTACCGATAATCTTGTGCACGCGAAGTGTCAAGTTTCGCAGCTTAATCTCGCATTGTGTTGGACACTTTTTGCTAGAGAATAATGGCCGATATAGAAGGAAAAAAGTTAACCGAACTTCGAGTTATAGACTTGAAAACGGAACTCGAACGACGTGGACTTGATAAAAGCGGCAATAAAGCGGCGCTCCTCGAACGTCTTTCGAAAGTAAATTTTCTTACCGATATAAATTTAGTTTCGGAGTGTTCATCTATAATTACTTACAGTGTTTTGTCGCCATTTTAACCCTATTGATTTCGTTGCTAGTTCATTGCTGGCATAGTTAGCGTTTGCGGTACTCGCACGAGAGACAAGTTGAATTTATTTAATAAATATTCATTCTAGTTTCGATTATATTTCTGAAACCTATAAATGTATCTTTCTTATCTTGACAGAAATTTTTCCCACGTTTCTCCGCTTATTCGTGTCACACTAGCGAAATTATAATTCACTCTGTTATAACTTTATTCGGTATTTCTATTTATCATATTTATAATTATCATAATTGCGGTAATTTCATTGTTGCAATGGTGTGTACAGTCCATATCCGACGAAGGGGAAAATCCTGATGAATATCTCATTGTACCATGCGGCGGCGTATGTAAAGTTAGCCCGAGAAAGAACAGCGGTAAGTCTTATTTATATTCGATAGGGCGAACAGAAACTTTATAACGGCTTAAGCTCTCATCGGCGCTTTGTTTGTTTTCTAATTTACAGTGACCGGTACGATCAACGTCGACGAGTCAACAGACACTACGGAAAGTCAGAAAGAAGATGTCACAGATGCAATGGACATTTCTGAAACTAAACTGAAGACAGAACCGAAACTTACCTTGGAAAAAGAAACGACGACACCTAAATTGGAGGTAAGAGTGTCGCGAGGAAATCGCTCTAAGACATCTTTGTTTAAAATGCAACTAAGACATTGGAAAACGACGCGATAGGAACCTCAAAGCGAAGCCCAAAACAGCGGTGGCAAAGAAGCAGAGTGCAAACCGGAATCGAAGATTCAAACGAGTAAAGTGTTCGTCGAGAGCACGCAGATAGCCGAGAAGAAAATCGAACCTGAAGCGGCAGCAGCGGTGAACGAGATCGCGACCAATTCAACGTCAACCGTCGAAGCCAATGGCATCGACAACGAGGATTCGATTAATTTGACTATCGGGGAAGACGAAGAAAATCTCCTTGCTGAGGAGGTAACAGAGCGAATTTTGTTGCAAATCGATTCTCCAGGATCGTAACGGGGCTCGAATTGACACGTATCGTTATTCATGTTGCAGACCGAGTCTCACGATAGGCACAAAGGTAAGTTGTACAATGCATCGAATCGCGTAACGTATCTCTAGATGTAAGAACGAAAGGAGTAGACGTAGCAATACTTTTATTTATGATGACGAGTAAGTTATTCGAATGTGCGGCATCAAGATCAAGGGATTGTGTATTTTCTTCGAGCAATACACCTCGCCTATCCAGAACCACGATCGTGCCGAATCTATCTACAAAGTTGTACGTGATGGCTCTCTCATCTTACGCCTGTTCTTCGAGCTTCGCACTTCTGAATAAGCACGCGCGTACAGGATGTGTGATGTACAACCGTTCGGCACACGGACACGGCATGCAACGATTTAACTACAAACTGTGACGGCACGGCGATCGACGAGGTTTCACCCAGACTGAAACGCACATCCGTCGTCGTGTTTGCATCGTCGTTGTCAACCATGTATAAAAAATCTTTCCCATAAACGCTAGTCTATAAGTTAGTTAACGCTAGAGTTTGCTATACAGTTACATTAATTCTACCTAACCGCATAGAGCATCGTTGGATCATCGTTCTGCTCCCAAATTATGTGGATTCAAGAAGACTCAAGTGTATGTCAGAAGCTACGAATCTTCCTCGTACATAGTTAACGTTGCAACGTTGTTCGTCCCACCGAGACTCGGACAGATCGATATATTTTCGAACCATGGAAACCATGGACTCGGAAACCAGAGGCCGCGTATACGTTGACAAAATTCTCTGGGCATCGGCACTTTGCCGTCGCCTATTGGCAGACCGTCGTGTGTTGTCCCGGTTCTCCCGGTTCTCCCGGTTCTCCCGGTTCTCCCGGTTCTCCCCGTTCTCGAGCGGTTCGGCCGTTGTCGCGTCCCAGCTCCTAGGTTGGATTCCTCGTCCGATTACTTGTTCCAGCTTCCACCACCACCACCACCACCACCACCACCATCACTTTCTTTCGAGTCAGGCCTCGATCCGTGTAGTCGCGTACGCAAACGTACGAAGATGCACCAAGGTAACCTTTAGTCTCGTAATAGAGAGAAACGAAAAAAAAAGTCGTGTAGGGTCACTGTGGAACGTACCATTGAAGAGTGAATTGGTGATGTCGATGATCTTCGTCGTAATTCAGTGTGCACTCTGTTAGTGGCTCGGAACAAGTTCCATGCAGGAAATGCAGGCCACTAAGCAGGAGCGTTAGGGAGGGAGAAGAAATCTGGCCTCGCAGAAAGTGACTATGGTACCTTGATTGTCTCTGCAGATGGAGGAGAGAAGAAGAAAGTGGAAGAGAACAAGAAGGGAGAGTCTAAAGGGAGCGGTAGAGCAGAAGCCGGCGCCAACAGCAAGGATGGGAGCTCGTCAGGTGCGAACGTCGGGACGAAGAACAAGCAGGACGGTGGAGACGGAAGCAAGAGGTTGGTCTCTCATTGCTAAAACAAAACAAAACAAAAAAAACCGGTTCACAGTGGTACGACAACGAAATGCCATCCAACTCTATGATAGCGATGCTCTCTCTCTCTCTCTCTCTTCGGCCGCATACGAGTACAAATCTCATCAGGATAAGATACTGTCGGACAATGGATTCCCAAGATGAAATTATTCGTCAAAGTCGCACGCAAGATTACTTTATTCCATTTTTTTCAATCGCATACGAAGTTTCTTTCCGCTCGTACGTTTAGGCTGTAATTCCTAACTCTGGAAAGTATGTTAAGAAATCGAGAAATTGGCTAGCAAACTTAAATCGAACCAACTCCCATATACCGCTCCTATTCGTAAACGACTATTTTTCAAAGGTGTTACACGCTCTACGATCACGAAGATATTCGTTCGTAAAACAAACGGCAACCTCATCGAGCCTGATTGCAAGAGTCCTTAGTATCTCGAGGTAAATTGTACTCTCGGCAGACTGCGTTTAAACGTTTGAAACGCGGCAACAGAGTCTTACCGGTGACCGGAGATACAGATGTACCGATACCGATATATACCGATATATACCGATATACCGATATGCTACTCTGTCTCTCGCGTATGCGTCGGTGCCCGTGTCAACTCGACGAGAAGCGCCCTCCCGGAAGAATCACCAAGGAGACGAGAGACGATCCCTTTCCGGAGATTTCATGCAAAGGGATGCGCAGTACAATTCTTCCCACACGGACATACTTTCGTTACACACGAGTGATGAGAACTGGATGCCGATCGCAACGAAAACATCCATTAATAATAAGTTCAAACAAACAAACAAACAAACAAACAAACAAACGAACAAACAAGGCAAAAAAAGGCTTTTGCAAAAGGCAAAACGCAAAAGCAAAAAAAATTGAAAGAAAAAGAAAAAGAAAAAGAAAAAGAAAAAGAAAAAGAAAAAGAAAGTGGTAACGCTATTTTGTGTAACAACGATGCATATCAGTGAACGCCAAAGTGCAATTGATCGTATTTCGTTATTATTGTTGTTGTTGATTGTTGTTGTTGTTGTTGTTGTTCTTGTTGTTATTATTATTATTATCGTTATTATTACTATTGCTCCTACCGCTGCTCTGCTGCTACTAGTACTACCGCTACTACCACCACCACCACCACCACCACCAGCATCACCACCGCATCACTGTCATCGCCTTCATCAACTCCGTCAACTCCTTCGACTCCGCCAACTCCGTCAACTCCGTCAACTCCGTCAACTCCGTCAACTCCGTCACCGCTACTACCATTACCAACTACCATTACTGCTATTATAATTACCGATTATTAGCATTACTATTGTTATTACGATTGCTGAGAACAAGACAAGTTGCTAGCCAAATTTATACGCTTAACATAGTTACAGAGGTATTTATTAAGCCTCAGAAAGATCATAGTATTTATAAAGCGTTACCTCTTGTACACAACAATAAGGATTAGGTTGAAACAACGTTTCGATGTAACGAGAACAATTGTTATTTTCAGCGCCGAGTCTAGCAACAAGAATCAGAAAAGGGACGATAAAGGTAACTACCGGAAAACCAACTCGAACCGACGCAAACTTGTTTCGTAAGGAAAATGTTCGATCACTGTGATGTATACATGCTCGTCTCCCGTTTCTGCAGATAAAAAGAACTCTCAAGTTAGCCCGATCAATGCGAGCAGCAGAAACTTGTGGGTATCCGGACTGTCGTCGAGTACTCGTGCAACCGACTTGAAACAGATTTTCTCGAAATACGGAAAAGTGATTGGCGCGAAAGTGGTTACGAACGCGAGAACTCCCGGTGCGAGATGCTACGGATACGTGACGATGTCTACGAGCGAGGACGCCGCGAAATGCATTCAGCATTTGCACAAGACGGAGCTTCACGGCCGCGTGATATCGGTGGAAAAGGTAGGTGCGCTCTGGACACACGGTCAGCTTTGCTCCGAACTTCCCGGTTTCGTACGAACGCGCTCTTTCTCTCTCTCTCTCTCTCTCTCACACACACACACACACACACACACACTGACACTTGCGCGAACACAACACAAACACAACACAAACACGTTCACTCGACTCTCGCGCGTCATTCGATTTGCGTTTAAAGGCGAAGGGCGACACGCAGCAAAGTCACATGCGTAAACGGGACACCGCGAACGGAAAGTCGGAGAAGAAGGAAGAAAAGGACAAGTTGAAGGATAATCACGACGCCGTCGACCGAAAGGATAAAGAGGCGAAGAAGGAAAAGAGCGAAGAGAAAGGATCGGAAGCAAGTGAGTGATCGGTGAACAATTTGTCTAGGTGAAAAGACCGTCGATGAACGCGACGATTAAAAGGAACGTTTAAATGTGCGGCAGCGAAAAAGCCGGACGACAAAGGGGAGTCCGGGGAAAATAAGAAGACCGAGGCGCAGGAGAAGAAAGAGGAAGCGTCGAAAGACGCCGATTCCCGGTCGACCAAATCGACCAGCAAAAAGCCCGACAGCGAGAGAGGAAGACGCGACGAGAAGAGAATTCGATCCTGGGACCACCACCGATCTCACACCCGTTCTCGCAGTCGCGAACGCCGAAGACGCGACGACGTGCTCACCTTCGCCAAGATCAGGGTATGACGGGGGATTCTTTGACGGGGTCCGTTGCTCGAACCCGACTCGGCTCGAGCGCGTCGACGGAGCTCGGAGAACATTCTCTACTATCTGTGTTACACTGTCTGTTACTCTGTTACTGAGTCGGGCCTGCTTTCAGGAGGAACGCGAGAGGCAGAGATTGCGCGAAAAAGAAAGAATGCTTCGCGAGGAGGAACGAAGGAGGCGGGAGGATATGGAACGGCAAAGGGAAATCGAGCGCAGGCACAGGGAAGAGGCGGCACGGTTGGAACGCGAACGGGAGAAACTGCGCAGGGAAAGGGAGAGAATCGAGCAAGAGAAGGCCGAGCTGCTTCGTCTCGAGCGGGAACGGCAGAAACTCGAAAGGGAGAAGCTCGAGCGCGAAAGGATCGAACTCAAGAGGCAACAGATGCGACTCGAAGAGAGCAGGCGCGCGCCTCCGCCACCCTCCATCAAGCGATCCTCCAGCGACAGAAGAGACCCCAGAGACATATACGTGGAGCCCGACAGGAAGCGCATAGCGACCGAGCACACCCGAAGACACACTCCGGATCGGGTCACCGATCGCCGCGGTGAGATATTGGACCGCGTTTCGGACAGACGGTTGGACTCGTCGCCGCCTGCTCGTTACGAATCTAGCAGGTAACGCAGAGAGAGAGTTCTACCCGTATCGACGTCGACATCGACATAAAGAGACGTCCTCATCGATCTCGATCCCGATACCAGCCTCGAATTCCGCCGACGATAAACGATCCAACGATTCGCCTGTTACAGATCCACTCAAGACCTGGGACTGAAGAAGGAGTTTAAACGCAGCAGTGATTTCACCTCGCGGAGCAGTCGCCCGGAGAGTTTTTCCGACGTGTCTCGCGGAAGGGAAGTGATAGTGCGACGCGAACCTCTCAGCACCACAACTTCGTCCATCGACCCTCGGCAAGTTAAAGAGAGGTGAGACGCGTTACGGTTCGCTTCTTCTTCGCCTTTTCCATCCGTCTTCTTTCTATTCGTTCTATCCGATGTCCGCTCGAAACTTTAGCAGGTACGAACGACCGAGCACCACCACTTACACTCGCGAGCGCGAAGTTCGTCGTTCCGAGCCGGAAACTCATCGAAGTTCCAGGGATAGTCATACTCGTTACAGCGAGAGCTTCAAACCCACGGGATCGTCTACGCCGCGTGAGTATCGCGTTCGGACGTCTGTCGTACTCGACGAAATATCAACGAACGTCTCTGGTACAGGTGACAGTCGGTACGTGGAGAGCAACAGAACGACCAGCAGCTGGCACTCGGGACCACCGTCGACGAAATCGTTCAACTCCGTTCCGAGTAGCGGCACTCGAGACCCGCGGAACGAACCATCCAGCTGGAGTTCCAGATCCTCGGACAACGTAAACAGGTACGCGTATCCGGCGGAAGCTTTAGAAAACCCTGGAAAGCTAGCGATCCGACGAACGATCGATCGATCGGTTACAGATGGAGCAACTCGAGCAGCATGGGAAACACGCTCCGCCATCCAGTACCACCGACTTACCAGAGCGGTCCTATCCAGTCCATGGGGCTGACGGCACCGGGAACAGCGCCGTCGTACGATCGCTTCGATCCGTACAAGTCGTCGATGCCGAGCATGAGAAAATACTGATCTTCTCTGACCGAGACAAGCTACCGCAACGAGTGATATACAACCCGGTTCGGCGTTAACGCGTGCATACTCACTCGCCAGAACCACGGACACGTAATTTACGTTTGCATTGTATCAGACATTTCCTACCGACACGACGGAACGCAGTTTCGACTAGTCTTTCTCACGACCACGCTACCGCGGTTCCGCGCGGCTTTTAACGTTTAGAACCCACGATCATCCGTAAACTTTTTTCTTTTTACGTTGTTTCTTTCGTTTCTATTCTCCTCCTCTTTTCTACTCTGTTCTATTCCGTATTCTTCTCATCACTGTGTACCGTGCGTCGTGGGTATAATTGGTCTCTTTTTTTGGTTCGCGACGCGTCGCAAACGACCGGAGGGATTTATTCGACGCGATCGGCCAAGAAGTTTCTGTACCGAATCTGTCGCGAATCGACGGAGAAGAGGACGGAACGCGCTACCGTGCCACAGTTTCGATCGACTACAGAATCGTCAACTTCTCGGCAAACTCCGTTCGCGCGAGATTACTTTGCCATTGCTATATAATTTCATCCAACCAATGCCGGGACCCGCGTTCGTTTACATCGATGAATATATTCTTGTAGCACGTTAAGGTATATCGTATAGAATCATTCACAGTTTTATCGTGTACCTTTAATCGATGATTCTTCGTAAACACACATACATATTCTCTAAGGATATGACTGAATTTGTATATTGAATTCCATAAAAATTGTATATCGAGCAACGTTGAAATCTACATTCATACGTGAAGCACGCACGTACCACGTTTCGGTGTAGCGACGATTATTACGGTATAAATAAATTTATGGCATATTAGTAGTCGTCCAGTTGTTTGGTCATTTCATTTCGCCGAATCCCATTCTCCGTTGGATCGTCGCGCGTCCACCGCGAGATCCGCGATCCGAAAGTGGAAAGAAACGACAACGGGTAGAGCACCGGTAACCGATGGGAGGGAACACTTTCTCTCGGTCGGCGGCGAGCGAGGGACGGCGAAGAAAGGCGAGATGGAAAAGAAAACGGGAGAGAGTGAGGGAACGGGTCCGTTGAAAGCAAAGTGTGTCGAGGTCTTTTCACGGACAGTCATCGCACGACCGAGCATCGTTCCGAACGATCGTTGCCTCCCGATCGGCTGATTCGCGCCGATTCTCCCCGATTCTCCTTTTCCCGGTGTCCTCCCGTGTACAGTCCTCCGCCACGATCCCCGTCTTTTTCAGGCCTACCACCGTCTTCCCCCTCCGATCTTCTCTCGATCTCTCCCCTCCGGATTCCTCTATTTGGTTTTTCCTACATCCCCCTCTCCGTCTCTCCGCCTCTCCCTTCTCGAACTGTCACTCTCTCTCCCCGTCTTTCTTTCCTTCTCTCTCTTTCTATTCGCCTGCCGGGCTCCATAGACGATGAACAATTCGCCGGTACCGTCGCGGACGCGACAACTTTATCGAAATAGTTCGAGGCCGCGCGTCTCATCGGAGGTATCGGTAGTGGTAACGGCTAGCCGTCTGGAATGTCTATGAATAGGAACCATTGACGTTCGACTCTGCCAGGATGCTGTCGTCCATCGTCCTTCTGGGTAAGTGACCTTCCCGCGAACGGTCAACGCAGCGTTGTCCTTATAATTTAATTGTCCTCGAAATTTCATCGAGGTACACCGGTACCCCGGCGCAATGACAACTCGACGCGGTTTCCTTCGTTCCGACGGTACGCACGAACAGCGCGTTTTTACTCCAAATTATTTACTATTTACTATTTACTATTTACTATTTGCGCTCCGTTTCATTCGAATTTCTCCACCTTTAGAGAACAACAACCTTTAGAGTCAACATTTTCTTTGAAAATTTGATGTAACGAACTTTCCAGTGGCACGCGTCCGCGTTGGTTTTCCCTAAAAGGACCGTCGATCGAAAACCGATTGAGCCCACACGATGCGGGTTAAAGGTTACCCGTCGCGTCTCGATCGCGAGTCTGAAACGAGGCGCGAATGCGAGGCAAAGGCAAAATAAAACTCAACTTTTCTAGGCGCGCATCATTGGAGAGAAATCGGTGTGCTCGCGCAATTCCAATTCGAATTTCTTCGGCGCAAAGGGCGCGATCGCGCGACTTTTCTCGACCAACGGTCGCGATCCCTCTCGCTTTTAGATCGCTCGAGAACCAAACGATCGTCCGATCGCGAAACGACAAAGGTGTCGGACGCGAATCGTCGATGAATCAGTGAACGGAAGAAAGAGGCGCGCTTTCTCGTCGAGCAACTTTCACCGTCGATGAGGCGCGCGCGCGCGCGCGCGCGATGTACGTTGCGTCGGTGCTTCTGAAAAGGGCCAGGCGCGTGTTTCTCTTTCGATTGTTCGTTTTCGCGCGCTCGCGATTCTCCGGATTCGAACGACGACCGAGTGGACTTTCGCGAGAAAAATTCGGGGAACCGTGGAAATTACTCGACCCGAGAGCACGCAGGATCGCGATAACGCGTCGCGTCTGCCGGTCGCTTCGATCGTGCTTCTCGGAAGAGTCGAAAGCTGTTTCGTTCGGACGTAAAACCCCAGCGATGTTGCGCAATAATCGCACGGTTCGGGGGGCGTCGATGACGAGCGCTCGATTTCGTTTCGATCGAATATTAATGAAATCCCTGTACGTTATCGTTTATCGGGAGAAAATCGGATTGGAGCCAACAACTTTTCCCTCCGTGGCGATCAAAAGTTTCCTCGGTCTCCCCATCGAAGAATAAACGTGTCTCGAATCCTGCAAATGTTTCAGAACTCTTCGCGATATGGAGTTTGCCAACGGGTTCCTGGTGTTACACCGAAAATGTAGCGCGGTACAATTATCGTAAGTAGAGAGAGAGAGAGAGAGAGAGAGAGAAAGAGACGAGTCCTTCGTAGCTCTACGTTACCCGTTCTCGACGGTAACGAGCATCTGCGTCGACGCGAGTCTTCGACCGTAGGCGAATAAGAGAAAGGAACGATACGCGAATCGGTGTTTCCAGCGGAGAGATTCGGGATGCCGATAACGCCGGTGTCCACGGGAACGATCGGATTCCGAAGATTAGCCGAGACGGAACCGTGGCGCGCGGATTTCGCGCGTGATCCGCGAAGACCGATGCCCGGCATTTTGCGGAGGGACACGCGAGGTCGTCCCGGTCACGGCCGGCTCGAGAAAACCTCCCTCTCGAGACGAGACGAGCCGGATCCGTTGATCGCGATCAGCGAAACTCTGGGCGCCTTGAACACGGTCGGCAGTTACATCGTCGACATGACCAGGGGCGTCGAGAACTCAAACTATCCACCGAACCAGTTACCGTCGGCGATATACACCATCTCTAAAAACATTCTAGGTACGAATCCAGCCAGCTCCTTTTCACTTTTCACCTGTCTCTGCTCTCTCGTTTCCAGGTCGCAACGTGACGGACAGTATAGCGCCATTGGTGCGCGGAGTGGCTCTTCCTCTGCGGACATCGGTCGCCGCGGACTCCTCACCGGCCCGGTTTCCGTCCTCGAACGCGTCCGCCCTGTCGTCCACGTTACCGCCCCTGCCCGCGTCCACCTGGCCGACACCGACGTCGACTCGGACGTCGACTCGGACGTCGACTCGGACTCCGACTCCGACTCCGACGCCGACGCCGACGTCCACGCCGATCCCGATAGCTTCCCATTCCGCGGAACTATTCGCGAACAGGGAAAAGGAATCCCCTTCGTCGGTATCGTCGTCGTCCGGTTGCATCACGGCCGACGGCAACGCCGGACACTGTCAAGACTTGAGCATTTGTCCTCAGCTCTTGCTGGATCTGACGAAACTCAGGCAATCGTTGTGCTTCAAAAGTTTGTTCGTCCCTGGCGTTTGTTGTCCGCTGACCGATAAGACCGAAATCGCCAGGTAAGCGACGGAGAGAGTACCGCTCTCGATCATTTGAAAACGAGGTGAATTTTCAGCGAGTCGATCGGAATCATTCCGGCGAGTGGAATCGTGGTTGGCGCGCATACCACTCCGCGACCACCGATCAGACCGACCAAGCTGCAGACGCCTCGACCCATTCCGCTGTTTCCCGTCGCTTCGTCGAGCACGACGACCACGACGACGATCGGTCCGGTGTTCGGACCGGTATTGAGTCCCGATGCGCACGAATCGTCGGTAAACGAGCCCACCGTCGCGAGTATCGAGAACAATTTCATCCAGGACGATGAGGGTAAAGAATAGAAACGTAGAGGAGACGCGTAGAGGTAACGATAGACGGATAGTAGGGATTAACAGGCGCGTGTCGCGTGTTCGCTCTTCTTCTCTGTTGTCAGAGTGCGGTGTGAGGAACTCGGGTAAGTATCGAGTGGTCGGCGGCGAGGAAGCTCTGCCGGGACGTTGGCCATGGATGGCAGCGATATTCCTGTACGGTTCGAGACACACGGAATTCTGGTGCGGCGGCTCGCTGATCGGACCGCGGCACATTCTAACCGCCGCTCACTGCACGCGCGACAAACGTCAACGACCGTAAGCGTGTCCTCGCCTATCCTTGTGACCGCAACGATTTCCAAGGAAACGGAAAGAAAGAATTTTGAATTTGCGCAGGTTCGCGGCGAGACAATTCACCGTACGGCTCGGGGATATAGATCTCGAAAGAGACGACGAACCATCCGCACCGGAAACGTACACGGTCAAACAGATCCACGCGCATCCGAGGTTCTCCCGGGCGAACTTCAACAACGACATCGCCGTGCTCGAGTTGACCAGGCCCGTTCGCAAGTCGCCGTACGTGATACCGATTTGCTTGCCGCACTCGCGTTACCGACACCAGCGATTCGCGGGCGAGAGACCCACCGTAGTCGGATGGGGCACTACTTACTACGGTACGTCTTCTCCTCGAGTGGCCGGATCCGACGAGCACACGCCGATTCTCGAATGTCGTCTCTCTGTCGGCAGGTGGCAAGGAGAGCACCGTGCAAAGGCAAGCGGTCCTTCCCGTTTGGAGAAACGAGGACTGCGACTCCGCCTACCTCCAACCGATCACCGGCAACTTTTTGTGCGCCGGATACAGCCAGGGCGGTAAAGACGCCTGCCAAGGCGATTCCGGTGGTCCGCTGATGCTCAGAACCGACGGTCGTTGGATTCAAATCGGCATCGTCTCGTTCGGCAACAGATGCGGAGAACCCGGATATCCTGGCGTTTACACGCGCGTCACCGAATACATCGACTGGATAAAGAGTCATTTCTAGCGAATTACGCCTTCCGCCATTTATGCTACCTATACATGTACATATGTATCTATGCTTTCATCGTTTTCCATTTTAATTATTATTCCTATTAATATTTATATTAATTGTATTTTTATCGTCACCATTGTCATTAGTATTACTGCTACTACTTCTGTCGTCGTTGCTATTGTTACGATTTCTACCGTTAGAAAATCATACGCATTCGCATTCGCATTCGCATTCGCATTCGCATTCGTATTCGTGCTTGTGTACATAGCAAACCTTAATATTACTTTTATCTACGCGCATACGAATATATCGAACAACTAATTAGAATTCGAGAAATTGGAAATAAAGAAAAGCAAATGCTGTGCCCCCCTTTAAAACTGCAACCCGCCACGATCGAAATATTTATCGAGAAATCAGCCGCAAACGCCACGGTCATGATTCCTCGATGCGAATCTCTACTCTTTCGTACTCGAACTTTCGATTTCCAAGTAAATTTCTCGCGCCTGTTTCTCTTCCGTTCCTCCGTTTGGTTAATTCGCCACGATTTACCCGATGTCGGGTAATCTTTGCGCAACTCCAAAGTTACCCGACAATCTTCGCGATCGTTAACAGCGTTCGTCGAGTCGCTCTGGTCCAGGATTTCGAAATTCTCACGAAATTCAAACGATTCGAGTTCAATATGAAAAGCAAAAGTGTCTCGGTTGAAAATTTCTCGAGTCTCGTCGAGCGAGCGGTGAACGAAGCGATGGAAAATAACGGTTAGTGAAGCGCGCGGATCAACGCGATTCGTAGACCGAGAATGTACCTTGTCCGTGTTTCCACGTAGAACAGATTATTCAATTCCATCGAACGATTTACGAAGAATGGTGTTTCAAGAAATCCTCGAAATCGAAGGATACCAGTCGCAAAGAAAACGAAACAACTTCGCCACCGATCAACGAGCCAGTCAGAGTCCTTAACGCTCCTTTCTGTCGCTTCTACCCATGCGTGTCTCGAACATCCGTTTCTCTCTTAATTCCAGGATATATCGGGAACTTTGCTTCACCGCAAATCCCATAGATCCGGCGATAGTCGCAGACACCGGCACAAACGTCGTACGAGTCGACTTTTTACGGAGGCGGCTACGGTTCTATCGAGCGATACCAACGAAAACGCAAACGGTACTACGGCAGATGAAGAAATAATAACATCTTCTTCCAGAAATCGCGACAACCCGTCAAGGACGGACACTCGGGCTGTTTCAGTCGACATTCCTGTCGAGGTACGCTACAGTCGTCGTTTGAACCTGACACTGCAACCGTTTGCACTCGAAAAATCACGAATTCCTCCTCCCTTTTCACAGCGAACGGACTTAAACTTTATCGAAATTTGGAATAACTCGTTTAAGCGAGCAAATTCTTCGGACCGATCGAAAAGCGCAACGAACCTTGTCCCGGAGAAACTCCGGATACACCCGAACGGTACCAGGTCGTAATCCAGCTTCTTCCCGAACGATTCGTCGCGTAACGTTTATTCGGTTTCCGTGATACGAGCCAATTATTTTAGAGCTTCGACGACGCGACGATTAAACGAAAACGGATTGTCCTTCGAAGCGTGGAAAGCAAAAAAGACGTCAGCCTATCGAGGCATACTTGAAGCAAACGCGGCACGTGAACGGGAACAAGAATGGGAACAAGAATGGGAACAAGAATGGGAACGGGAACGAGAAACGAACGGGAAACGAGAGCAGAAACTCTTTTTGCGGCAGGTGTGTGTTGCAGCTGAATTCATTCTTATGCTTATGATCGTACCATTCGCAATTGTTTTAATTCCCTATTTCCGGGCCAAGGTACAAATGCGCGGAAGGCAACGGTACAAACGTTTACCAAACGAACATTTAAATTCGAAATTCAATCAAAGAGAAAGACGAATGTTCACGGAGCGGTAACACGGTTTTCTAATTATCTTTTCCATTATTGTTTGTTCTACCAAAAGACATAAACTCACGAGAAACAAAAAGTAATCGGAACTTTCGAATGTTTGACATTTTTCAGCAGAGTAAAAATCGGTAATAAAACAAGTAACAAATCGGAAATTATGGGAAACATTATCATCGGTTCGTGGTTAATCCAGTTGAATTCCATTTTGCGCCAAAGGTGAGAGAGCAAATGATATCTTATCTTACACGATCACTCCATCAACAATCGTTTCGTTAGAAAGAGGAAATTCCATACGCGGGACGATTATTGATCGCATGTTCGCTTAAAATAACATTCGTATTCGATATTATCTCGCACAGGCCATCTAATACATCACTCTAATGATACACTGAATTTTAGTCGTCTGTGCAGCGAGACTAGATAACGGGCGACGACGATGCGTGCTACTTCGACGCGTGGATCGCCTCCGTTTCATTCTAAATACTTTAAGATTCGGTGTATATCGGTTTACACTTTCCCTCTATCACTCTCCTTTAAATTGTTTATCGCCTTCTGAACTAAAACTCTCAAATTTTTCGGAAGGCTCATCTGTATCGAATGCAATTGTTGCATTACTTGACTTTCCGACGAAGAGACTCGTGCGCCATCGTTCTTGTCCGTTTCTTCGATACTGTGCACCGCTTTTTCCTCTTCTATGCTACATTCCGTTTTCTCCACTAGCTCCGCTACATCCTTTTCACCTAGCAGAAGTAACAAGAAATTTCTAAACATACCAGACAAAGGTACGCTTTGTATGGTTTCTCTGTAAATCGTATATATTTCACTCACATCTCGCGTCAACGTTTGCACCCGTGTATCCTTCCAACAATTTCGTTGACGGTGATTCTATCGTGTTGTCCAATTCGCATATTCTCAATGCTAATATTCTGTAATTGATATCACGTACGCTGTGAATCTCACAATACCAGCTAGGGCGGCTCGTTTTAAATGCGCACGATCCAAATTACGCAATACGTTACCGACTTGTTTGCTTTCTTTTGATGCGCCAAAGCTAACGTTTTATCGTTCAACGCTTCCAACAGAGCTACACACAGACATCGTAAATCGGACATGGCTGCTGCAGATTTCTGAACCGGCACGTGAGAATCATGATGGAGCAACTGTTCCACTGAAAATTCATGCGGTACCCTTTCAATTTACATCAACGTGCAGCGCGCATTCGAATCATTTGGAATCTAGCAACGACGAACCTTGTTTATGCGTCATAATTGTACCGGCAGTTGTATTAGCTCCCAATTTCACAGATCCTTTCACCCGTTTACTATCCAGCATGCTCTAAAAATACGGTTATTCTGTTATAATTCATCGAGCAATCCAACGAGCACCGGTGAAGAGTGCGTAAAACGTGCGTAAAATATTGTATGGATTATGCGTGGTTACTTTGTACTTTGAAAGTGATTGCCTCGTAAGTTCCTTCTCCTCTAGTAACTGTTGTAATCTTTCCTGAAGATATCTGAAAAATTATAATACCGATGCATTCTTACTTTTTTCAGGTCAAATATTAATCGAACGCGCGGATTCTATAATTCACCTATTCTCATTGATAAGAGCATCTAGATCCACCGGTTTGGAGGCATTTAACGCTTTCGACAGTTCATGATTTAATCTGTGAGCTTTGCATTTAAAAGCATCCCTCTCCATCTCCAATTCGTGTTTCTCGTCTAAAACCATTTGTAAATCCGTCTGCAACTGAGTACACTGAAATACAAAGCACCGTAACTTTCGCAAGGTACGATCGAAAGGTAATGCTTTTTCATTGAAGATTTACGCGATGTTACCTTAACGTTCAATCTTTCCAACTGCTCTATCATTTCTTCCCTTTGATGAACAGCAGGAGTGCATTCGGGACCTTGCTGTTTCACGCAACTTTGCGCGGTACTCTTATGCAATGTCTTCACATCTGTTCCACTATCCTCCAATTTTTGTCTTAAAGTCGACACTTGCAATCTAAGACATTTATTTTGTTCCCGAGCTTCCATTAGTAGATCCAAAGTCTTAAAGTGATTCTCCAAGTTGTAACACCTTCAAAAAAATATTTTCACTTTTAATTCTTTTGCATCCGCATCTAATAATAAACTAATAATTCTTTACCCATTAGAATCTTGTGCACTGTTTATCTGCGTTTGCAACTGTACAAACTTTTCTTGCATTTGTTCCGCCATTGACTTGAACTGATCTCCTTGCGATCTACATTGACGTAATTCTCTGCTTAAAGACTCAACCTTCTCCGATTTCATTTGCAATCGTTTCTCCAGTATTTCCTACAAATTCAATCGAATTTCAACATAAACAATATAACCTGAAAATTATTTTCGATTCGAATAACCCACTTTCGACGTAAGATTGCCATGGTCTTCTACCACTGTGACATTCACACTTTTCTCGTTCGTTTCATAAGCCATAATTAAGTAAAAGGATGAAGATAAAATATATATTCACACAAACGGAAAGATATAGTACATCCTATCAACTGTTCTGTTCGTTTCCTACATCGAAGAAAGAAAGAGAATAATAAACGAGGAAAACAATAGAAAAGAGGAAGAAATGTATCGATTTATGTCCGAATAGGTAAGTACATGTAAGTACTCGGTCAATCACATTGCAATGCATCAACAGTACATGTATATATATATATATATATATATATATATATATATAGGCACCTACCAACAATTGTCATTTATCGCATTATCAACTATGTAGTATTTACATACTTACATCTCACATGTAATATTTACTCGAGTCAAGAAGGACCCCGAGTGTCCGACTTTGATTGTATGTAAAATATTAGGTATAGATTAGGTATAGATACTCGATAGTTTTAAAGATATAAACAATTAAACTTTCATACCTCTTCGATACACTATGGTTGCGACGAAATTCCTGAAAGCTCTATTGGCGGGGTAAGGTGTAAATCTCCCTAGCTGCGAGATTCGTACGCATACAAGTTCGAGAATCTCGAACCCTACGATGAGACGTGTTTTTCAAATAGGTATGAAAGTTTAACTGTTTACAACTTTAAAACTATCAAGTATTATCTATACCTAATATTTTATATATATAACTAGAGATCCACGTGGTACTGTCATCTCACGAAAAATTATCGAAATCAAAGTTGGACACTTGGTGGGGTCTTTTCCTTTAGTATTTCATTTCTTTTCACGTTTCATGGAAATTCACAATAAAAACAAGACTTGTGATAGTTATGGCAGCTTACAGGATAACGCTTGAATTCCACGTGATACAAACTCGAGGTGCAACATATGAAACTGATACCTAACATAAGTAAGTGGAGTACACTTAATACGTATTCCAAGTTTTTCGCGCTAGCGACCAATTACTATTTGGGTACTATCATTTTCTTGTCGTTGGTCGACGATACGCTAACCTAAAAAAATTGATCAATGGTACTTACACTTAATCAGGTTTATTAAAATATTATTTTTTTAGTACTATCTCAAATAAAGCAAAGGACAGTGTGTATTTCTAATAAAAGAATTACCATCATGGAAAATGAAGGTAAATATTTCTGTCTTGATTGTTCTTGAGGTTTATCGAATAAAGAAAGCTTTTAGAAATTTCATTTTTCATTAATGTTTCAGAAATATGTCAATACTTCAATAGCATCATTAAGAATGAGAAAGACGTTTCTGCTGGAATGGCTGCTATACGCACATTACTGAAAGTTTTGGAATATTCAAAGTGTAAATGCATTTTGTGACATATGTTTGAACTAGTATTCAACAATTGTGCAAAACATTAAGTATTTTCTCCGATTGTAGCAGAGACAGTTCAAGAACTTAGGTATTGCTTGCAAAATGCTATAGATGCAATGAGATCCACGGATAATCCTGTTACTGCCATTGCATCTGGTAGTGAATTGTTTCTTCGTTTTATAACCTTGGCAACATTAGATACACCGGTAAAGTACCATCGAGTTACTTGTTGGAACTGGCCTTTCGTTATTATGCAAAACACTAAAACAATATTTTATACAATGTCAATTGTTTTATTCTACGGTTCGTGTTGTTTGTTAGTCATTTGCAGAATGCAAGGGTATCATGCTTCACAGGGGAAAGATGTTTTATGAAAAATTAGTAGCAGCTAGAGGAAAAGTGGCAAAAGTAGCAGCACATTTTATTACAGATGGTTCTGTGAGTTTCTGTTAAGTTTTCAACATATTGTGACTTGTTTTTCTTAACAGTTGTCCTGTACACGATTATACCTTTTTAGAAAATATTGACACATTCAAAATCTAGAGTTGTATTACAAGCAATGAAAGAAGCTGCTGCCAGTAATAAAATATTTGAAGTATACGTAACATGTTCGTCTCCGGACAATAGCGGGTATGTCTGGTTCTTATAGTTTCTATGTACTGCTATAATACTTTCATTTCTACCATTCTCTTTGCATTAGCCAGGAAATGTGTCGCAACTTGACCAAATTAGGTGTATCGTGTACACTTATATTAGATTCTGCAATGGGATACGTTATGGAACAAGTCGATATGGTTATGGTAGGAGCAGAAGGTGTAGCAGAGAGTGGTGGTGTTATTAATAAGGTATCGGAGAGGTGTAAATTTATGAATCAAGTATTCGGATAGACGCATACGCTAATACCGTTTGCTTATAGGTTGGCACATATACAATGGCAATGTGTGCCAAAGAAGTGAAAAAACCTTTTTACGTACTTACAGAAAGCTTTAAATTTTCAAGAATTTACCCATTAAATCAAGTTGACCTGCCAGATGAGTTTAAGGTAACAAATCAATCTCTTTTCTTTCTTTCTTTCTTTCTTTCTTTCTTTCTTTCTTTCTTTCTTTCTTTCTTTCACGATTCTCATAGTTCTTTTCGCGTCTCTTTGTTACAGTATACAGCAAGCACATTAAAGAAAAATTTACAGAAGGAACATCCGTTAGTCGATTACACTCCGCCCCATTATATCAATTTATTGTTCACTGATTTAGGTATTTTAACCCCGTCCGCCGTTAGCGATGAACTCATAAAATTATATTTGTGAAGTACATGTACAATAATAATTAAAATAAATTTCATTTTTCTAACATTGTTGTACATAATATACACTTACTTACATACCTACAAAGAGATAAGATTTTATGAAAGACTATTGCAAAACCGAATAATGATTCTCTTATGATTATGAGTTGAGTATTTGATCGCGTTCGTGTCTCTTGTTAAATTGCTTTCGTGAAAAAAATAATCGTCAATTCCATCTGTAGAGTAACAGGAATTTAAACAATTCAGTTTTGAGGTTCGTTTAACAGGTATTTTACCTTTTCACGCGATTACGTTAAATCGTAAACAATATGCACTCTAGCAATCAAGGTATGGTATCTATTTCATAACAATGATTAATAGAATACAGAAAGCAATCGATTTTCCATAATTACAAGTTTTGCCACTGAAAATAATGAACTTCTATATTACTCTTTATATACATTCAGAAAAATACATTCTCTTGAAATTTTCATTTAAATTGCACACATGAACACCCTTCCAAAGTTCTGTAACTATTGTACTTAAATAATATTATTCAACACAATGTAGCAAATAACTTGATATGCAATCTACTATTAATAATTATTTTGCAAAATGAAGTATAATAATATGGGGAAATATAATTAAAATTCACGGGCTGAATAGTTATTATGTATATGTATACATATTTTTCTTCCGTAATACTCTGTGGACGGATAAATATTTAAAATAAGGTGAATGCAAAATTATTTATAGATAAAGAAATGGAGAAGAATCTTAGCAAATAAAAATACATGATATAATACTATGTATAAATACATTACAGAAATGAAAAGCCAATTAATCGATCATTACAATTTTGTAAATA